GCCCCCGCCCCCTCCCGCGGTGAGACACCGCCCCCTCGAGCACCGCCTGAGCCCCGCTCGTTTCCCCGCCCCGCGGCTCAGCCTCAGCTCGTGATTGGCCATGCTTCTAGGTAGGCCTCCCCGCATTGGCCGAGGAGCTTCAGGTAGCGCTGTCGTGATTGGTGGACATACGCATTGTTCCCGCCCCCGCCCCGGGTGCGGCACGCGATTGGCTGGCGCCGGAACGATCTCCTCCGGGGTCGGACCTGGGCGGTGTGGACGAGGCCTCGGGCGGCGGCGGTGCAACGGCTCGAGGCAGGTGAGCTCCTGGGCGGAGGTCGGAGCCCGGGTCGGGTCCGGGGGCCCCGGTCGGGTGCGGGCGGGTGGGGTGCGGCTGGGGACAGGGCGACGCCCGCGGCGGGCCGGGCGCTGCGGGGACGCAGAGCCGTAGGCCCCGCCTCGGCCGCCAACGGCCGCCGCCCCCGCCTCAGCCCGGCGTTGTTGGCTGCGGGCGCGCTGCGCAGCCGGAGCGTCCCTCCCTCCGCTGCCGGTCCCCGCCTCGGCCCCAGCGGCCCGCGCCCCACACCGCCTGGCGCCCCCTCCTCGCCAGGGCCCCGGCGCGTCCTCAGGACGTGGGCTTGGCGTCGGGAGCTCGGCCTCCCCGGAGCCCCCGGGGCCTGCGCGTCCCTGCCCCGCAGCCCTCGCCCGGGCGCGGGCGTTCCTGCAGGTGTGCGCCCTCGGGTTAGGTGCAGGGCGGGGACGGCTTGACCACCTGGCGGGCGCGGAGCCCCGGCCCCACGCGTCCCTGCAGCTCTCAGCCTTGCGGCGGGGAGGCAGGCGGCAGTGTGCTCCCCGAGGGCCCGACCGCGCCGCTCTCGTTGGGAACCCCGCGTGGGAACCCCGGGACGGCCTCAGCCCCTGCTTGGTGAGTGCCCAGGAGCGTGCTGTGTTCTGGCCCATTTCCATCCTGTCGGTCGGACACGTCGTAGTTCTTTTAAGTCTGGAAACTCAGGATGATGGTTAGTTCCAGGGAATGGTCTCAGATTATTTTCTTTGATAATTTCCAACTTTATTTTCTCTCAGTTTTTTTCTCTTCAGTGTGTTTTGGAAATACTGTCACTTGGGCATTGGACCTCTTGAGCCGGTTTTCTACCTTTGTCTTTATCTCCCATTTTGCAGAGTTGCCTTTTTGGTCCACTTTCTGAGAGATTTCCTCATTCTTCTAATAATCCACATAGCATTTTATTTGGGCCATCCTATTTTAAATTTCCTGGAGTTTTTTTAGCGGTGTTTTTTTTTTCTTTCCTCTAAAATTTAGCAACATGTTCTTATTTCATAAATGCAGTAGCATCTCATTCTCTTTCCATGGGCTCGTGTGTGTGTGTGTGTGTGTGTGTGTGTGTGTTGCTTTGGTCTGTCTGCCCTGAAATGTCAGGCGACCTTGCGTGACGCATACACCTGAGGGTGGGACCCTGCGTGTCCTGTGGAAGGTCTGTGCACCTGCGCTGGCCTTGTTGCTGTTGGCTGACAGGACGGGTTGGGTTTCCTTGAGGAACCCTCAGTGTCATTCTGTTTAGATGCTTTTATTGGGCTTTTTAGATTCCCAGAGAAGGGCTTTCCAACCTCCTGCCTCGCTCTAGAGGTTAGGTAGAAGCGTGCGGTTGTGGCCCTCGACAGTTATTATAGTAAAGAAGCGCTCACTTACCCCCCTTTCCAGGAAGGCCTCCTGGAACGCCAGTGTTCCCTGATCCTCTGGCCTAGAGAACCCTAGGTTTTCCCGACAGCCTTTTTGGGGGCTGGATCGGGGGTATGCGTGGTGGCTAGCTACTTCTTTTTATTGTAGTGAAATACACAATGTAAAACTGACGATTTTAACCTGTACAGATAAGTGGCATGAAGTACGTTTGCAGTGCTGGGCAGTCGTCACCGTTGTCTAGTTGCAGAACCTTGTCGTCACCCTAAATAGAAACCCCACCCCCTTAGCCACTGCTCCCCATGGAGGCCACTGCCCACCTGCCTGTGAATTGGCCTTTTCCGGGTTTCTATAGAAATGGGTTCATGCAACATGTGGCCTTTGGGGTCTGACTTCTCAGTCAGCACCGTGTTTTCACAAATGTGCCACGTGTCTGCATTTCATTTCTTTTTATGCTGAGTAATGTTCCATTGCGTGAATGTACCACCGCTTGCGTATCCTTTCGTCTTTAGTGGCCATTTGAGTTGTTCCCACTTTTGCCTGTTACGATGACTGCTGTCAACATCTGTGTGCATGTTTTCGTTGGAGCGCCTGTTTCCAGGCCTTGGGGCGTAACCTAGGAGCGGAGTTGCTGGGTCACATGGTGACTATTTAACCTGTAGAGGAAGCGCCACACTCTTTCCCACGGTGGCTGCGCCCTTTTGCAGTCCACCAGAGGTGTGCAGGGCTGCAGTTTCTCCACAGCCTCTTCAGCACTTGTGATGATTTTGAAAAATTATGGCCATCCTAGTGGGGTGAAGTGATATGTCGCTGTGGCTTTGGTTTGCATTTCCCTAGCGACAAATGACTTTGGGGGTCTTTTTCTGTGCTTTACGTGTTCATCTTCTTTGGAGAAATGTCCATTCAAGTCATCTGCCCATTTTTAAATGGGTTGTTTGTCTTTTTGTTGAGTTGTAAGAGTTCTTTGTATGTTCTGGTTACTAGGCTCTTATCGGATATGTGACTTGCACCTGTTTTCCTCCGTTCTTTGGGTTGTCGCATCACTTTCTTGGTGGTGTCCTTTGACGTACTAGTTTTAATTTTGATGAAGTCCAGTTTATCTGTTTTTTCTTTTGTTGCTTGTGTTTTTGGTGTCAAATCTAAGAAACCATTGCTAAATCCAAGGTCATGAAGATTTATCCCTTTTTTTATTCAAGAGTTTTTTTTATAGTTTTAGCTCTTGTGTTAAGGTCTCGCTCCATTTTGATGTGGTGTGAGGTAAGGGTTCTGCTTCATTCTTTTGCACATGAACGCCCAGTTGTCCCAGCGCCATTGATGAAGGGACTATTTTTGCCCTGTTGGATTGGCCCACTTGTAGAAAAGCGGTTGACTATAAACGTATAGGTTTATTTCTGGATCGCAATTTTGGTTTTTTTGGTCTGTATGTCTGTCCTTATGCCAGGAACGCACTGTTTTGTGGTAAGTTTTGAAATCATGAAGTGTGAGTCTTCCATTTTTGTTGTTCTTTCTCAAGATTGTTTCGGCTATTTGGGGATCCATTCAGTTCCATATGAATCTAACGATTTAGCTTCACATAGCTGCAAAAAAGACCGTTGGGATTTTGATAGAGATTGCACTGACGCCGTGTAGCACGTAGGGGAGCATTGCCAGGCTGATTGTTACGGTAAGTTGTCCAGCCTGTGAACAGGGGGTGCCTTAATTTATTTGTGTTCTTCAGTTTCTTTCAGCAGCGTGTTGTGGTTTGCAGTACCAGGCTTGCACTTCCTTCGTTAAATTTATTGTTTTTTGTTTGTTATTTTTTATGCTATTATAAGAAGAATTGGTTTCTTAATTTAATTTTCAGATTGCTCATTGTTAGTGTATAGAAATACAACTGATTTTTGTGTGTTGACCTTGTATCTCGTAACTGCACAATTTGTTTATTAGATGTAATAGTTTTTTTGTGTGAATTCTTTAGGATTTTCTATATATAAGATCTGTGAATAGAGATAGCTTTACTTCTCCTTTTCCAATTTGTATGCCTTTTATTTCTTTTTCTTGCCTGATTGCTCTGGCTAGAACTTCCAGTACAGTGTTGAATAACAGTGGTGAGAGTGGGCAACCTCGTCATCGTCCTGATCTTAGGGGAAAGCTCTCCGCCTTTCCCCATGGGGTATGATGTTAGCTGTGGGTTTTAGTAAGTGCCCTTCGTCGGGTTGAGAAAGCTCCCTTCTAATCCCAGTTTGTTGAATGTTTTTATCATGAAACAGTGTTGGATTTTGACAAGTGCTTTTCTTGTATCAATTGAGATGATCACGTGGTTTTGCCTAACTGCTTCTTAAATAGACTTTTAGCATTCTATTCCTCCTGTGTTTTGATTCCATCCTGTACCTTCACTTGCAAATGTACGTAAGTGCCACTACCTTGAGTCTTCGGGGTTCCATGATGAAAATTGGGTTATTCCTTCCTGTTCCTCATTATGATTCAGGTTTTTCTGACCTAAGGCAGTTTTCATTCACCCATGTGTTGTACAGCTTCCAAGTTTCTTGCTATTGTCTTTTCTCCCTTTCGTTTTGTTCTTTTGGATATATATATATATATATATATATATATATATATATATATGTCTTTTAAAGGAAATCCTTTTCAGGAGGTGTGTCTGAAAGAGAGTGGAAGCTTCTGTCCTTGTTCAGTGCACCATATTTTTTTTTTAAAGATTTTTATTGGGGAATTGGGGGGATGGGAACAGCGCTGGGGAGCCGAGGGAAGGGGAACAGACAAGTTGCTGTCGTTTTGTTCTTCAGTCTAGTTGTGGAGGACGTTGCTTCACTGGCCCAAGTTGGCACCATCATTGTGCTCTTCCCGGGTGAGGCAGATCAGTCACCGGCTTCTGAATGGCCGCTCACACTGGCTGCTGGCTACACACGGTAGCCCATGGCAACCCACTGCAGCAGAGGCTGCAGCCTACGCTGGCGACTCATGGCATCCCAGCTCCAGATTGAGCTGTTCAGCATCTTAGCTGTAGAGGGCAGGGTCACTGGCCCTCACATGTGGCATCCAAACCGGGGCCCTCTGGCGTCCCAAGCCAGCTCTTAACCATCGCGCCACTCAGCCGGCCCTCAATGCACCATTTTTAACTGGAAAGTCCTTTGTGATCTATTTTCAAAGAATGCCAGTATTTGATAGAGTGTCTGCTCATAATCCTGGTCCTGAATGTATGATGGTCTCCAGATTCTGAAGTCAGAGCCAGTTTGAATTTGCTTACAATAAATGCCAGTATTTATTTACAATATTTTTGGCAGAAGTGGTGACACAGGATGAAACCATCCTTCAGCGCTACAGCTCCTGCCCTTACCTAAATATTTCAAGTGAGTTAGGAGCCCAGGGAAACACAGTGCGTTTCCTAAGCCCACTGCTGATTCAAGCTAAGTGGTGCTGACCACGGCACAGACAGTGGTGATGGCCGAGCACAAGAGGTGTGGGGCTGGGCTTGCTGTCCTTAGTGCCAGTGGGGAGGGGCTGCCGCCCGCCCGCCTGCCTGATTGAAAACACTTTCCATCTTCCTCTTGTGTCCTAAATTTGGAACTCATTGCTATTTTGGACTGCTTACCAGACTTGATTTTCAGATAAAGGAGACTAGATGTGTT